AGCTTTTCTAGCCAAAAAAAAAAAAAAAAAGTTTTACTGAATGTGGACAGAGTGTTTTCAGCTGACTTGAGGCTTATCTAATTGTATTTACTTAGAGTTACATGAATGTCAAAAGTATGATCACATTTTTCCATTTGCTCCACAGCAGTACAAATACTTAAGGCATTTGCTTTAAAAGTCTGACAAATATAAATTAAAATATTTTACATGTATTTGATTTTTTTGTGTTTGTATTTTGCATGTATGTATGTACACTACATGCAAGCTTGGTACCCTCAGAGGCTAAAGGAGAGGGGGTCCAAGCCACTGGACCCGGAGTTATGGATGATTGTGAACTACCACGTGGGTGCTAGGAACTGAACCCAGGTCCTCTGCAACAGCAGCAAGTATTCTGACTGCTAAGACATCTCTCCAACCCCTGACAAATGTAAAATTTTAAAATACCTTATAGACCATGAGCATATTATACATATAAAAGTGCCTGTGTATATGTGTATGTATGTATATGTATATGTGCACATATGTCCACCTGTATATCTGCATGCACACATATGTGGATCTGTGTTTCTCCATTTGTGTAATTTGAACCTTGATTTTTGCATCTCTTTTCAGCATTACAGACTTCACATTTCCATATCAATGTTTTAGAAAGCATTATAAAATTATGGCATTAAGTTAGAAAATTTTCTAGAAGGTAATATGAGACAGAAGAACTTGATAATTTTGAGGGATCCATTAGTAATCTTAATAATTGTAATATACACCTACATTTAATTTCAAGGGTAGGGAATTTATTTTCTAGTCACTACTGGAATACATTTTCAAGATGTAGATCACCCTTATACACTCTGTCACCTAATTTTTACTTTTAACTTAGACAAAATGCTTATTTTTTCATATACTGAAAGATGTTCCTGAAGCAAAACGGAAACAATGTCATTTAAACAACCAAGCTTTTAGAGTATTTTGAATTTTCTTTTATGTTAATAGAAAAAGGTAATAGACTGAAAACTTAAGTATGCATTTTATGCAAAGGTAAATGATTATATTGTATTTTATATATATGCCATAGCAAATTAAACCATTTAGTTTGTGAACTTACCAAAATACAGTGCCGTGAAAAGGGTCAACTTCTTTATAAATATTCTGTATAATTGGTTTTGTTTTGTTTTGTTTTTGTTTTTGGATTTTCGAGACAGGGTTTCTCTGTGTAGCCCCAGCTGGTCTGGAACTCGCTCTGTAAACCAGGCTGGCCTCAAACTCACAGAGATCTGCTTGCCTCTCCCTCCCAAGTGCTGAGACTAAAGGTGTGCACCACCACTACTCAGCTTAATTATTATGTTCTTATGAGCAAGGACAAAGCTAGAGTGCACCTTGTTATAGAAATTCTGAATCATAGTTTTAAACTACACCTGAGGTTTTTTAAAAATTTTATCCAGTATGGATATAAAGCTTGCCATTTTTACTCTGTATTTCTCATTAATCTGTCATGCCTCCTCTCTTTCTTTCAAAGCACAATGAGTTTCTGGTCATCTCTCAGTTTGCGTTTGTAATTCAATGTAAACATATTTTTATGTTTTAAAGTAATCCTACTGCTGTTACCTACCAGCTCTCTCCTCAATAAGCCTGACTCTCTACAGGTACATTACTGACTACTATCTTAAAAACTGTCAGAGCTTAACAAAACAAACGTGTGTTATGTCATCTAGCTCGGTCTACTGGCACCGTCTAGAGTCATTTACCTCAGAGCACAGCTAGGATTTTGTTAGCTTTCTCTCATTGGACATAATTCCAGAGATTATCAGCTTAAAAGAAGAGTGATTTCTTTTAGTTCAGCATTTCGGATGTTGGTAGAATTGTTGCTTTCGGGCCTGTGGACCTTATGGTAGGACCTCATGACATGACCTCATGGCAGGACCTCACAGCGGAGTTGACTAGTAGTATTACTTTAAAATATAAAAATATGTTTATATTGAGTTATAAACTCAAACACCACACATGAAATTACTCATTTCACATTGTCAGCAAAGCAAACAAGAGAAAGGAAATCGCTGGGTTCCCAATGTCCCAATCAAGAATCTACCCCTAGCAATCTAATTTCCTCACTGAGACCTTACTTCTTCCAGGCCCCAACATCTTCCAGCTGTACCACAGGCTGCCAACCAAGACTTTAACACATGGTTCTAGGGACACCAACCCAAATCATTGTAGGTTGGAAGCACAAAACAACACACCCACACCACTGCCTCAGTGTGGGTGAGTAGTATGGCTTGGAGATATGTATCCTCCCCTCCTGTGTGGTATTCCATCATCATTTAGTGCCCTGGTCTGAGTTACTTTATATGGTGACTGGAATCCTTGTTGGTCATGTTTATATGTAATCTATTCTTCTACATACAGAATGATTTCAAATGGACTATTCAGTTACCTAAAATCCGGAGACTTTTAAAAATAATTTTTATGTTTATAACTTTTATGATGGAATCTTTATAATTAGAGGTTGTAGTTTTACTTCAAACCCTCGCACCCCCTGAGTAGAAGATGAATCCTCTCCTCTTCCTTTTTTTTTTTTTTTTTTGAGACAGAATCTATGTAGTCTGACTGTCCTGGAGCTCACTATGTAAACTAGACTGGCCTCCAACTCACAAAGATCTACCTCTCTCTACCTCTGCCACTTTAAAGGTATGTGCCACCATGTCTGACCCAGGAATATTCTTCTTAAGCAATTGAATGCAGGGAGCTTTCAAGTTACTTGCATGGGTTGCAGCTTGGTGATGCGAGGTCCTGGTAGTTGAACTCTGGGCATAGTTTCCTTCTACCCTTTCTTTTCCTCCTCTCTATTTACAGGATTAAATGAATGAGCAGGTGTAAAGATCTTTAGACATGTGCTGGCACATATTAAGTATACACTCAATATTAGCTTTAGCTTTAGAACATAAGTGATCATCACCTCTGATTATAACACACAGAAAGACCAGGTTGGGTAATTCCTCCAGGAGCTATAAAGTACCCTGCATTCTCCTTAACTGGTGATCATTAAACCAGAGCACTTCCCCTGCCTCCCTAGACCTGACAAATAAAACACAGGAAGTTAGGCTGACTTTTCCACTAATAGGCTAAGCCACAACCATTCTGAAGGAACAATTTATTGACTTAAAAAAAGAAAACCTCACAATCTGAACTAAGTAAGAAAGTACATAGTCTACATTAAAATATAAGACATATACACAGACACACAGATTCTCATGAAATGTATGCAGCACATGTTTTGGGAATGGTTTGGCTCTATTTTATTCAGTGAATCAAAACAAAACAATGTTGATTATGACAGTATTATTAATTTTGTTGTTGACCAGAAGGATTCTTGGCTACATCTTATTGTGTGTTGGGAACAGGAGATCAAACAGACTTTAGCAATGAATATTGCTTCAGGAGTGGTGTTGTAAGGAAGTGACAAGTATAGTTTCCTTACTAGTCTGTTAAGATATGGAGGAAAAAGCTCATTCCCAAACAGGAAATTCCTACTCAAGAGGCTTTATAAATTCTTTCATTGGGTTACAGGAACTAGAGGGATGACACGTATACATTGCCATAGCTTTTCAATACAGTAGAAGCTAAATGCTTTCTTGTTTGTGCCTGGGTGGAATCAAATGGGAGTCATTACAACTCACTTTTTGAGCAAGTGATTTAGAAGTAATTTTTAAAGCTTGGTTTATTGATTCATTAAAGTAGCATATAGATTTCTACTTTGACTAAGCATGAGAACATATGCAATAAGAAAGTGATGGTTTGGATGAGAATGCCACCTCTCCTTCGTGGGCTCATATATTTGAATGCTTAGGCACTAGTTAGTGGAACTGTTTGGGAAGGATTAGGAGGTGTGACCTTGTGGGCTTTGAGGTTTCAAAAGCCCTTGCCAGGCCCAGCAATGTCCCTTGTTCTCTGCCTGTTGTCTGTGGATCAGGATGTGAAGCTGTCTGCTGTTGCCCCAGCTCAATGATGGTGTCTGCTTCCCATTGTGATGGTCATGGACTAACCCTCTGAAAGTGTAAGTAAGCCCGTAATTAAATGCTTTCTCTTTACAGGAGCTGCCTACCATGGTCATGCCGCCTCTTCATAGCCATAGAAGTAAGAGAAAGACCCAGAAAAGTGTTGGGTATTTAGAAGGTGTTCAGCTTTCCTGTTTCCTTCCCTTTCCTGGGTCATAAGCATCAGAACTCATAACTATTTTTTAGGTTGTGTGCTTTATGTTTTTGGAGGAAAGCTGCAATATGATAACATAATTGCTATAGTCAAACCCTACATAAATTTTCCTATCATAAAATTTCCCCAAGAAATAATAATTAATAGTTATAATTATTCATATATGGATTTGAACATGAAATAACATTGTATTTCCAGGTTATGTATCCTAAAACGTGTGTTAATTTCCCAGTTACCCACATAAACTTGAAAAAGATAAAGTTCCTAACAAATGAGGAAAAACATTTGTCATATTGCTAGTAATCTGAAAAAAGAAATGGCATGCAAAATGCAAGCAATAGTCCTTTTCTTGGATAGATCATTCAGGGCTGCATAATTCGTTGATGCCCCTGCCTGTAAGATTCTTATGATCAGTTACCTAGTTTCTGGGAGTCAAATGAAGCTTCCCTATGGTCCCAGTCTGATGCAAAGCTAGGAGGGGGCTGATCATTTCAAACTGCCTCCTGAAAGGTTGGGATTCTGCGTGTGTGACTTAAGGGCGGAGGCGCTGACACAGTTCCCCTCCTCCCGGGGTGCCACTCAACCCGTGGCTGCGGACGTGGCAAGTTCAGATTGAGCAATTCAGGGCTGGAGTCGCAGAGGCGACCCAGGAGCGTGGCGGCGGCGGCCCTTCCTCCTCCCCACTCCCCCCGTGTAGTCTCGGTCCTCCACCGCCAGAGGGCGTGCGCGGCTGCGCGGCGGCGGGGCCCATTGGCCGCGGCGGGAAGCGTGGGAGGCGGCCTGGGGAGAGCTGGCTTCCTCCTCGGTGCGGGCGAGCGCGCAGCGAAGCGGGAGGAGCCCGAGGAAGCCGGGGTGCGAGCGGGCGGCGGCGGAGGAGGAGGAGGCGGAGGCGGAGGCTCCCGTCGGTCTCCGACAGGACTGACGGCGGCGCGGCCGCTGGCGGGTGAGGCTCGGGCGGGCGGGCAGGCAGGCGGCGGCGGGCTTGGGCGCGGCTGGGCGCGTGGAGGCAGGAGCGGAGCAGCATGCTGGCTGTCTCGCATCCCGACGCGGATCGCGGCTGCAGCGGGGCCCGGCCGTGCGAGCATCGCGGCCCGCTCAGCGGCGTCCGCACCTGGCGCGGGGTCGCGGCGATCCCCGGGTTCGAACTGCGCCTGGAAGCCGGGGTTTGCGCCTGGAAGCCGGGGTTTGTCCCTGGAGGTCGGAATCCCGCAGGTTGAGCGCTACGGGAGGACGGCATGGGATGGGACTTGCAGGCTGGACTTGAACTCCGTTCAGTGCTGGGCCGTCTTGACTCACTCGTAAAGTTTACAGTCTCTGCCAAACTGGAGCCACGGTCTCCTTTTCCAAGCTAGCCCATTGGTGGTCTACGTCTCTGATGAGCGCTGTTTTATTTTATTTCTTTATTTCTTTTTTTCTTTTCTTTCTTTTTTTTCTTTTTCTTTTTCTTTTTTCTTTTTTTTTTTGCAGTGTTCATAGCTGTAGTATGCCTGATGGTCAATGCCCTTATACCTAAATAGCGAGAGACAGTTGGACGCCTTGAGGTTGATGTGTTCAGTTGTAACTTGGTGGAAGTCCTCAGCCTCAACTTACATAATTACTTCCTATAACGCAGAACCATCTGATACAACTTTTACCGTGTTTTCTTTTTAGGCAGAAATACATGAATACAAAGTCACTAATTTGTATCTTTACTCTCTTAGGTACAGTTACCCAGTATTTTCACTCGCATATTTGTTATTCACAGCTCACACGGGCTCTGTTACTACTTCTAAGATTCAACTGAATAAAATGTGAATTTCGTGAAACAGTAAAATTGGATGATAATGGTAGATGCCCGGGCCTTTGAGATCCTGGCAGGACCAGGATAATCTGTTGCAGTTTTCAAGACTTTGGAAACATTGTTACTCATACTTCACATTAGGAAGTACATAGAGGTCTCTATTTAATGCAGAAAATAAAGTTAGTAACTTTCCCATTGTCACTAAACAGGAAAGTGGCAGAATGGGTAAGTTAACTTTACCTGCCCTGCTGTCCTTCAGTGTTTCTGGAGGTTGCTAGTGATTTCTCTGACAGTTTACTAGGTTTTTGTTTTTAGCTTTATGCAAGTGATTAGGGTTGTTTCCCAGATTCTTTTTTTTTAAACTTTTTTATTTATTTAAATTAGAAACAAGCTTGCTTCACATTTCAATCCCAGCTCCCTCTCCCTCTGTTTCCCAGATTCTTACAATGTGTTTTCTGCATATTAAAAGCGACTTTTTTTTTGTAGGAAGAAATCATATAAAAGGACAAGATAAAATTCCTCCAGTCAGTGATTTTCTGTGTCTCCACGGTTGTGGAGATGGCAAGCCACAAAATGATGGAATTATGTCGACTAGAGTGACAGGCACAAATTCTCAGTGTCACATTCTCTGTTTTGGTGTCACATTCTCTGTTTCAGTGTCATCGCCACCACCCCCCCCTTGGTAGGCAGTTGAGCATCTTGTGTGCTACTTAGATTGTTGCATGTGCATCCTTACCTGTGAGTTCCTGATGCCTTTCATCACATCTCCACTAGGCTTGTTAGGGTAATACTGTGGCATCAGCTGTGCTAACTAATGGCACCCTGCATTACCTGCAATTAGTGGTCTCTGAGTTTTGAAGGGCATTGGACAATAAAAAATAGCTTGTAAAATTGTTTTAGCCGATAATTTTTTTTCCCTTTGTGGCTTCTTTCTGTGCTGGGCCAATGGCTGCCGACCAGCCTTCCTGTTTGGGCAGATGGAACCACTCTGAGCACTTCTCAGAGGTGGTTTGGCTGCTGGTGTGTGTGAACCTTGGTGTGCTTCAGTTTTACATTTAACCTGAAGTGTAAATGAAGTGTCTGCAGGGGAATCCTGAGACCTGAGATGAAGATGTTGTGTTTGTCAAGGGTGATGTAGTTACAGGAAATGACTCCCCCACCACAGGGGGTGTAAATTTATGCCTCCTTTCTTCCTTGTTTTCCTTCTTAAAAACAAAACAAAACCCCTGCAGTGTGTAAAGTGAAATGCCCATACCCTATTTTGTTCCTCCTATAATTAAAATGTATTTTTAAAAAAGTTTTGTCATTCTTTTTAAGAGAAGTTTACTTTTATCTTTCTTTGTGTCTTTTCATATGTAGGGGGTAGGGGGAATACCCATGCTCTGGTTCATGTTTGGAGATAAAAGGAACAACTTGTAGGACCTGGTTTTCTTTATGAGACTTGAACTCAGGCTGTCAGGCTGTCAGCAAGCACGCTTACCCACTGAACCATTTTTTCCCTTGCTAATATTTGTCTGTCTGTCTATCCATCTTTCCTGTAATGGTATAGGGTAGGATTAAGGTATTTACAACAGCTGTAGAATTCTAAAGTCAGAAACAAAACTGAATGCTAATTTTTAGGATGCTGCACTGTTTTTATTCAGAAAGCTTATCACCGTTTTAGTTTTTCAAGTGGCTGTTAGATTTTTAAACAACAATCTGCTTTGCAGAGGAAAAGGAAGCCTGTAGACAATTTAAGCTTGGGCAATCTATTTTAGCCATTGCAAACAGGAGTTCTTTTATCTTTTCTTCCAGGTTTACTGCCTGCTTTTCCCCCTTCCACTCAGCAGACCTGACCCAGGGACAACCAGCCCCCATTTCCATTCCTTGTTCAGAAAGCGAAAATTGCTGTCTTATAAATTGTACTCTGGGTTATTTTGTCTTAGATCTGCCTTGGTTTTCATTTCTATTTTTTCCCTTAAGTTTTTCACTGGGTGGGTCGGTGGGCTATAACCCTGATGCTCTCAGCTCTAAGCCCAAGAGAGAATCACTCCAAGAACTTGTTAAACATGCAGGACTTTAAAGCCTACTCCGAGGATTCTGACTCTGCAGGTCAGCAAGAGCACGGAAGTTTACTTGTTCTAAGGCACACTGGTGCTTCTGACCTCCCTGGTGTGGGAACACTTTTGTGAGGCCTGAAAAGAACTGATAGGTAGAATGTGTCACTGAGTCTTTGACACCTTCCATTTTCCTAAGAAAAGTGGGCTTGGAAGCCTCTCTGTTTAGACTCTTAATGGGAAAGGCTGTGTGTTATAATAATAAAGGTTTTGGGGTGTCTAGGGCGTCAGGCCTTCTCTTGTGATGGTAAAGGGTTATTGTGAAGGTTAAGATTAAAAAGTTACATTGGAGGATGGGAAGATCACTTAGTCTGCAAAGTCCTTGCTAGGGGACCCCTGGGACTCCCAGGTTGGTCAGTCTAGCCTAATGAGTATCCAGTTTCAACGAGAGACTACATAAAGAATAACTTAAGAAGACACCTAACAGTGATGCCTGGTTTCACACTCATGCACACACATAAATACCATACACGTAGAATAATTCTATTAATATTTCTTCAGATGTTCAACCATGTGAAATATTTGTAAGAGTTTATGAAAGGTATCCTTACTTGACATCTGTTTCTTTCCTTTTTTTCTTTGGTAGGGGGGAGTTTTTGAAACAGGGTTTCTCTGTCTTAGCTGTCTAGAACTCGCTTTGCAGACCAGGCTGGTCTTGAACTCACAGAGCTCCGCCTGCCTGTGCCTCTCTGGTGCTGGGATCAAAGGTGTTCACCACCACTAACTGCCTCACTTGACATCTGCTTGTAGTGAAGATTGTGCTGGTGTCTGAAATGTAACCTCAGGTATCTTGAGGTGTCTGACACTCTAGCCCAACTGTCATTTCCGTTCATTTATGCATTCGTGGCTCACTAGAAGGTCTTGTAGTACACTGAAATTCTTACTTCATGTAGCATTTTCAGTAGATATAGCAGGATCATTTGACCTGTAGCTTTTTAACTCATCTGTTTTAGTCAGTAGCCCTCATTTCTTCCCACTGATTGACTATATAGCCTGCACATGCCACGTGTCCTCCTGAGTGGGATGGTTTTTACATTCGGTGGTAATAAGGTTAACCAGTCTGTGTCAGAAGAGACCTGAACTCTGGCTGTCAGCTCAGGAAATGAAAAGCTCCGATGACATATGGGACCCTGATGGAATATGTGTGTGTTAGCATCCATCTTTCTGTACTACTGAGAAGTCAATGAGTGGAGAATAGTCCTGCCTACATGTGAGCTCCCCTCATTGGCAAGAAAGTTGCTTAGCTATGTGATTAGGTGAAGGGAAGAATTAAGGCTCTTCATAATCCTGTGAGTGTTTTGCTGAAAAAACACCGTTAAATGCTTGTGGATCACCTGGCATGTTTCAGTAATCAGCTAGCCCTCAATGTCTTGGGTGGGGGGACAGAAAGAACTCTAGGTCTCTGACTTCTGTAGTCTCCAGAGTTCCCACAGTAGAGCTGTTTGGTGTTGCTACACAGCTCTCAGAATGTCTATCAGGCTTGACCACCTGCTGTTCAGTAAGTCTTTGGGGCAAAGTTGACCTAGGCTAGCTAGCACCTCCCCTAACCTGTTTTCAAGGAGAGACACTGGATATTAGAGTGTGTTTGCCCATGTAGGAGACTGAAGCTGCAGCAGCTCACATAACAGGTTTCTGAAGTGCTCTTCCCAGCCAGGAAGAGTGGTCGAGGAGTAAGGCTTAAGGTTTATATGGGCTGGGAAAGACAGTGAGGTCTCCCCAGTGCACTCGTGTTTTGCCTCATCGCCTATGTTGCCTTGGCTAACAGGCCTGGGGCAGTAAGAACACTCTGGACTCCGGTTCCCACTTACCCACATTTAGATGTTAAGCCTCCTTTAAACGAATTTCCATTTTGTGCCACTGAAGACAAACAAGAAAGGATGTTGATTCAGATAACTGAAAAGTCCAGAGATGGATGGTGGCATAGGCTAGTGATCTCAGTATTCTAGAGACTGGGGATTGCGTTAGGAAGAGCAAGGTGTTGAAATTCTGCCTCAGACAAACAAACAAGAGCAGCTGGGCACAGACCATCTGCATCCCATTCTTCCCAAGATTTTTCACTAGACCAGT